ACAGGGGCAGCCTCACCCTGACGGGTGCAGGAACCCCTCCTCTCTGCGCGGCCGGGCGAGGCTCAGCCCACCTCCTGTACACAGGGGCACAGGGACAGCCTCACCCTGACGGGTGCAGGAACCCCTCCTCTCTGCACGGCCGGGCGAGGCTCAGCCCACCTCCTGTACACAGGGGCACAGGGGTAGCCTCACCCTGACGGGTGCAGGAACCCCTCCTCTCTGCACGGCCGGGCGAGGCCCGGCCCGTCTCCTGTACACAGGGGCACAGGGGCAGCCTCACCCTGACGGGTGCAGGAACCCCTCCTCTCTGCGCGGCCGGGCGAGGCCCGGCCCGCCTCCTGTACACAGGGGCACAGGGGCAGCCTCACCCTGACGGGTGCAGGAACCCCTCCTCTCCGCGCGGCCGGGCGAGGCTCAGCCCGCCTCCTGTACACAGGGGCACAGGGGCAGCCTCACCCTGACGGGTGCAGGAACCCCTCCTCTCTGCGCGGCCGGGCGAGGCCCGGCCCGCCTGCTGCAGGACGCCGGACGTGGTGCGCCTGTGGCCGGCTGGCTATCGGCTCTGCCGGCCGCACGTGTGCGCAACGAGAGGCTGCTCTTTCCTCCCGATAGCGGCAGACGGCGGCGGAGGCTGCGGCCCTGACGCCGCTCCCGGACCATTGGCTGACACTGTCCCGCTCTGTTGCAGGTTCATGGGCGCGTGCGTGCACGAGGGCCAGCTGCACGCGCTGACTGAGGTGAGATGGCAGCGGCCGTGGATGGCCACTATGCACATGATCGTCAAATACGCGCACGATACTTCGTGCACACAATGTGACTTTGTAAATGAATGAATGAATGAAGAATGCGAAGGTGCATGACATGTCACCATGGGAGACACGCCAGTATGACCCATTCATTACCATGCTCACTGAGCACTAAATACGCCTCTGCAGAATGGTGTGAACCAGGATGTCTTACATTTTTACCTGACCGCCTAATTCCCTTTGTTCTAAGCTCCACTCACGTATTGTCGTCAAGGCAGCTCGTGATTTTCGTGTGCTGGACGCTCGGCAGCCAGCTGACCACCTGTGGGGTGTTTAGTGTATCCAGCGGGCAGGGCCGTCCCGAAAGGAAATCTCTCAAGCGAGGACTGGCCCGGTGGACCGTTTTCTTTGCGGCAGTTGGCGGCGGTGGATATTGTGGGCTGTCATTATCCCGATACTGCCAGGGCCTTCACGCTGTGTCCAAAAGAGCTCAAGCCAATTAATTTCGGTAACCGAGATGCGGTTTCGTCACCAAAGTACCTAGATGTGGTAAGTATGGCAGGAATGTGCTCCCACTTGTCCTCGTCTGAGAGCCTTTCAGCCAGTTGCCTTTGGACCATTGTTTCCTTATCAAGTGTACACCAATGGGATAGTAAACAACAACACACTATTTGCATTGCCGCCTCAGTTCCATGCTCTACAATAAGCCCCCTGGGATAAAGATAGCATGAGGGTCGGCATGAGGGTCGGCACGAGGATCAGCATGAGGGCTGATCTGCTGTCCCGGGACGAGCGCGTCCTGCCCAAACCGAGGGCGGGGTAGCACGCGCGCTCACCTCTGGCACACGGCTCGCTGCCATGACGAGAGGTGGCCCCCCACAGCCGGACCCGACCATGTCACAGTCGCGACGTCCCACCGGGAACTATGCCCTGGATCAGGCTGTCAGCTGAGACCGGTGCTGTCCGGCCCTAACGGCCGCATTTGGCGTGGGGCTCGTTGGGAGAGCATTGTGCGAATGACTGTTGCCGTTCCGGCGCGGAAGCTTTCAATCCTCCCCGGTGTACTGACCTTCAGCCATCGACAGTTGGTTGACCTCATTAGCCCTGACATTTGCCCCTCAGCCGTATCACTGAGGTGAAATTGACGGTTATGCGGTCACAAACGGCAGTCATCAGGCGCCTCCGCACTGATCAGCTGAAGAACTTTGCGTCCAGGCGCCCAGGCAGTTTGAGAAAATGTTCTTCATTACTCTGAAGTACAGGTGTAGTGTCTCGTATAGCCAGGTGACGGGAAACTGCGCTTGGGATGCCATGGATGTGGACGGGTATCCGGCGAACTCAGTGGCTTCCCATGCAGAGCTGAATCAGCCAGAGAACGGAAATCACGAGGTGCACGCAAGGCGTGCGCAGTCTTGTGACTATCAAGCGAATGGGAGCGGAACGGTATGCTGAGACCTGATGTGATGAACACCAGCTGTCGGAGTATGGAATGAGGTATCACATGTATACTGTCGGTCAAATTACACGAGCATTCTATAAGACTAGGCAAAAAGGGGAAGTTGTAGGCAAGTATTTAAGTTCGCGAAAATACTTTAACATCAGGAAATTTGATGCGTGCAGTAACGCTTCCCCTCATCAGATAGCGCACGTATCAAATGAGGAATTTCATTGCTTAAAAAGAGGAAGAACTCCACTCCCCGTAAAATGGGAACATTGTTGGAAAGCTACAACACAGCAAGTACAATTTACTCGGTCGATGTACGCGTGTCCGGCACGTTCTGCTTGACATTTGGCCGTGATCACTGATCAGGCTCGCTGAGATTGTAGCGCAGTACCGGCGGCAACCGCCAGCCCCGCCTCTCCGTCCCCCTTAGCCAGCCACGCCTCCTGTCCCCCTCAGCCAATCCCGCCTCTCCGTCCCCCTTAGCCAGCCACGCCTCTCCGCCCCTTCAACCAGCCACGCCTTTCCGTCCCCTCAGCCAATCCCGCCTCTCCGTCCCCCTCAGCCAGCCCGCCTCTCCGTCCTCCTCAGCCAGCCCCGCATCCTGTCCCCCTCAGCCATCCCCGCCTCTCCGTCCCCCTCAACCAGTCACGCTTCTCCGTCCTCGTCACCCGACCTCGCCAATCCGTCTCCCTCAGCTGGCGACTTTGCCTCTTCGTTCCCTCAGACGGCCCCGCTCTCCGTCCCCCTCAATCGCCCACCCCACCTCTCTTCCTTCCTCAGCTGACGCCTCTTCGTGCCCCAGCCGACCCGCCTCTCCACCCCCTTCAGCCGACCCCTCATCTCCCGTCCTCCGTCGACCGCACAGGGGCGTGGCCCTGCCTCTCCGTCCCCTCAGCCGACCCCTCATCTCCCGTCCTCCGTCGACCGCACAGGGGCGTGGCCCCGCCTCACCGTCCCCTCAGCCGACCCCCCATCTCCCGTCCTCCGTCGACCGCACAGGGGCGTGGCCCTGCCTCTCCGTCCCCTGCGGCTTGCTCACACGGGCGTGGCGGTCGGCGCTTCGACGTGCCGGACAGTTTCGCCACACGGCATGGGAGAGTTCCCAGGCGACCTTCGCCGTAAGGGATTTTTTTACTGCCCGACTGCGCCTGCAGGAAGTCGCAATGCCTCGCCGGTGCCGAGCCACTAACGGCCACTTTGCAAACACGAGCTCGGGTGGAGAGGTCAAATTGACCCCCCCCCCCGAAACAATTTTCCAGAATTGCTTCCTCTCCTCGAACGGCGCGGCGTAGCCGCGCCAAATTTTGCATGGCTGTAGACAATGGAATAGCGGATCGTTTGACATAATTTTTTTATGTACCTTGTAAGGTCGCTGACCTATCGCAGGTCAAAGTCAGGCCATGGTTTCAGCGAAGGCAAATTCTAGGGAATCGTTCAATCTGATGCAACAACGGAGTGTTTGACGAAGTCATACATCTCTGAGATGCTTTCTTAGACACCACAAATATTGAATGAGCAGATTACGTTGACCTAAGGTCAGATATGAAGGTCAGACCAGGGTCAAAACCAAACTGATTTATTACTCTAGGGCTTGCTGTAGGGGGATAGTTTCTGGCACTCGTTTCGAATTTATTGACAGCAGTAACCGCATTATTCATCTTCTATTGACTTCTTAGAGGTCTGAACAGGTTATTGATCTAAGATGACCCGGGCCGACATTTTGTTTTGGGAACATACTGCCTGGCGTAAACTTTGTCACTTATTCAAATGCAAAGCTCAGAGC